CCTCTCAATTCCTCCGAACACCCAGATGTTGCTCAGCTGCCTCCCGCGGCCGTACTTCCTCTTGCCAAAACAGGACTCGTCAATTTCTACGACGACCTCAGGTCCTCCAATTGCTTCTTGATTATTAAGCCAGTTCTGTGTAACCTCTGAGCAGAAGCTACGCCAGTCAACGCTGGTTCTCTCTGCCCAACCGAGGTTTTCAAATACAATGTGGTGGTTCCAAATTTTTTCTAAAAAAAACACAATAAAAACCACCAGATCTGAGGGAGCGACGTGAGCGTTTTCGAGGAATGTCCCCTTATAGTCACTTACAGTGAAGGAGCACTGCTTCCGCCTTTTAGTTTTTGCAATTTTTGTCCAGCGGCTGCAGAACCACCTTCCATCACGAAGCGTGCACGGTAAATTGCAATGCTTGCAAAGTACTTGCGAAGGAAGAACACCGTGATTCCGTAGAACTTCCAAGCTAGCTTCGTTATCTTCAAAATATAATTTGATAAGTTTCATGGGCTTGTTGTAACATCCATCACAAAGCGAAGCCATGGTGAGACTGACTTCGAATTTTAATTTACCAAACCGCTCTTTCTTAATATTGTCCATTGATTGGTTGCTTCCGTATCCTTTGTTTCCGCCTGTTTCCCTATTCGTGGAAAAAATAACCGCCAAACATTTAGCCAATCAAATGATGGCACTAGTCGTGACGTCACTGGAAAAATAACACGAATACTACACGTACGATTGACTCCGCGCATGCGCAGTAGCGAAATTGATCAGTTTTTCCTGAGCTCGCGAAGAGGAAAGAACAAGACTAATATATTTTATTTTTATTATTTTGAAAATTAAATAGCTTGTTTATGATTCGATTGCGAGATAAGATTATTTAAGAAAAAAGTTTAGAAAATTAAAAAACTTCACGACTGTAAGGTTACTTTCCCTGGATTTTATGTTTACGCTTTTCTCCAATAATACCGAAAATTGTGGTCCTTGGCAAGGGGAACTGGGACAAACCAATCCTTCTTTTTTTTCTTTTTTTTTCTTTTTTGTCGACGTCTATATATTTAGCTATCTCTGTCGTTCTCTGTATTTATCTATCTCTGTCTCTGCCTCTTTTTGTCTGTCTGTCTGTCTCTCTCTCTCTCTCTCTCTCTCTCTCTCTCTCTCTCTCTCTCTCTCTCTCTCTCTCTCTCTCTCTCTCCCTCTCTCTCTCTCTCTCTCTCTCTCTCTCTCTATCTCTTGTCTTTTTTGGCCCGTAATAAGAAGTATCTAAAGAGCCTTGTTCAACAATTATGACCATATTGATATCAAAGACATAAGAGAATCATACTGCACAGCCATGTCATATACGGTGAACACACATATTAATATCAAAAATAATAAATAAATAAATAAATAATGATAATAACACCAATAATAATAATAACAATAACAACAACAGTAATAATAATAACACTAATAATGATAATGATAGATAACAACAACAATAATAATAATAAACACTACTACTACTACTACTACTAGCAACAAAAAACATAACAGCAGTAATATTAATAATAATAATAATAATAACAATAATAATACCGGGCTCCCCAAATAGGCATAGCCCGGGCGAGGCTCTGCTTCGCGAATCTTAAAAAAAAAAAAATAATAATAATAATAATAATAATAATAATAATAATATAATAATCCGGGCTCCCCAAATAGGCATAGCCCGGGCGAGGCTCTGCCTCGCAAATCAGACAAAAAAAAAAAAATAATAATAATAATAATAATAATAATAATAAGACCGGGCTCCCCTCATGGGCATATCCCGGGCGAGGCTCTGCCTCGCAAATCAAAATAATAATAATAATAATAATAATAAACCGGGCTCCCATCATGGGCATAGCCCGGGCGAGGTTCTGCCTCGCAAATCAGACAAAAAAATAATAATAATAATAATGATGATGAAGATGACAACGAAATTTTAAGATAATTGTCATATGTATAATTATCATAATAACAATGTTAATGAGGTAAACATATAGTGATTATTATAATTCTAATGGAAACGATGACATTACTTTTCTCTAAAACTTACCACTCTCTTTAGCCACAGCGAAATGCTTTAATTTTCTTTGAATGGTAAAGTAAAATAATGGGTGACCGCTGATTGTGACTCGGTCTTCAGTCATGTCAAATATTATATCTTGGTAATATGTATTTTGCATATGAAAATAAAGTAAAGCAATTTTTTTTATCATTTTCCTCAATTTTATAGTAGTTTTTATTACGTTATCCTCAATAACTGAACGTATTACCATGGCAATAATACGTGCATATCTCTCGCACCATAAATCAAACGAAGAGTTCAGAGCATAAAACCTGGCGAAGGCGTGGTCCCAGAATTGTACACATCTGCCGCAGTTTGACTCATATTTTCAGAAATGATACTTGTATGCAATTACCTAATTTAAGGTAGAATGAATTCAATTCCAAAATGCATAACACTAATTACTTAGATGAT